ATAGGGTCTTGCTCAGGTCTGCAGCTCTGCTCCTCCACCACGTGGACATGGAATGAGTGGAGAGAGAGGAGGACTGAGCAGCCTCATCACTCCACACCACATGCACATATAACACAAAGCACTTCACATTGAAACCCTTTATTAAAGTTGCTATTTCTTCCAGAGTTATTTTTGGAGAACTCCAGACATTTTTGGAGTGCTTCATAGCATGCGTGTTTGTCTACTTGTACTCTGAAGCACTTCAAATGTTATATCTGCCCAAGGGCTTGGGTGTACTGCATCACAGCACACTACTCTCTCAGCAACCTAGTCTGATTTTTCTTTTTTTTTTCCCCCAGACTGACCACCTCCCTTTGTAGACATTTCATTTTACTGAAGTACTGAGTAAAAGCAAAGTGGAACTGGTGACAAAATGCTTTCAATTACAAACCAAGCAACTAGAGCTGCACCAAAATATCAGTGCCATATTGGTTTGGCACCAATAAAAAGAACATTAATGTTACTGGCTATCAGCTTTTTTTGGATGCCAGATGCCATGTGCATGTGCGCAGCAGCAGCATGCATGTGGCCAGGAGTGTAGCCAGGCAACGTGGAGAGCAGTGCCCCACAGGTATTTCTGTGGAGGGGAAGGGGTGTGAGGGAGGGAAAGGGCAAGGGGAGGGGGTTGCAGATTGAGGCCCCCATGGTGAGCGAGGAATTGGGGCAGGGGCTGGGAGTGCTGCCCAGCCAGGGTGGTGAAAGGGACCCTGGGGCAGGGAGCAGGGTGGTTCCTGACTGGGGCAGGGCAGCTCTCCACTGCTGCATGCACCCCTGGAGGAGGCATGAGATGAGGCATGTACTCCCCAGATTTGTGAATGGGGTAAGGGTGGAGGCACTCTGCCCTGCTGCTTTTGTTCCACCCAGTAGTGGGAGGCACAATGTGCCACCCCCACTGCTGCCAGGCAGGTGACATGTAGCCAGCGCATGGCTCGCAGGGCAAAGGCAGCAGAGCAGACAGCCCCAAGCTCACAGTGGGCAGCTGGCTTCCTCCCTGCTCAGCTTCATTCCTAAAAGCATCCCTGCACTTTAAGATGGTGGCAGCGGTGCCTGAACTAAAGCTCATTTGACAAGCTTTAGTCCAAGTGCCCCTGCTGTTTTTTAAGCGCTGGGACACTGTTCCCCTGGACCAACCAACCACAGCTCCGTTCCGCTTCCTGCCCCAGCCCCAGGGAGCACCCCCTATGCAACACCCCCTGCCCCACTCCCTACCTCACCATGGGGGCCCTCAATCTGCCCCCCTCTCCATGCCCCTTCCCCTCCACAGACTTACCTGCAGGGGGCTGCTCTCCACACTGCCCAGCTGCATTCCTGTAAATTGATTAGGGCAGGGGTGGGCAAAATACAGCCCGTGGGCCAAAACTGGCCGCGAGGCCCCTAAAAATGTAGAGATTAATATTTCTCTGCCCTTGGTTCCTGTCAAAAATGACAGGAACCAGGGGCAGTAGGACCCAAGGGAAGCGTGGAGGTCTCCCACAACAGTGGGGCCCGCCAGAAGCCCCAGTCAGGGTTTCTGGGCTGGGAACACATGGCTGCCCTGATGCAGG